GTTCATTTCCGACCTCTGTGCCCACTCTTGTGTGTAAGGGGCTACCCAAGTACATATCCCCAAGAGGCCACTTAATGTCAGCTGCCAGCACCAAGTTAGGCTTAGTGATTATGTTGTCCACTGGGGAAATTCAGGGCCCGTGTCTTGAGAACTGAGAAAGCCAGGGATCTTGTTTATTACCCAAACAGGTAAAAAACAACTGAGTGGTAACTAATACTATGTACGTACTGATCGAACTATGGATCAGCACCTTAGAACCGCATCAGTCGCTAATCAGAGAAAGAGATACAAACTGGAATCAGCAGGCCTAATATTCAGTGCTAATGTTCAAACCATCATATTGATTCACAACTTGGAGACTTGTTTCTCTCATCTCAGTGGATGAAAGACTCAGAATGACAATGCAATTACTGCCTATGTAACTGCCGACGCAAACCAACAACCTGGTACGGTATATTCTACTCTAGGGAGGAATCACAATGGGCCGCACCAAGTGGACGGCCACCGTCCCTGAGGGTCGCCACTTGTCTAGTAGAAACGCAAGCGAGTGTGTTATTGTGCCTGAGGCAATTTTTTCAAATATTTGCACGATGTAGACTATTAAATCCCGTGTGGATCGTCCCAAGAGCTTCAGTTCGACGAAGAATCACACCACGCCGGATATAAATGAATGCCGAGCACGTGGAGCTGAAGCCCTGACCCACGTAGATGTAACCAAAGACCAGGTTTAAAGCCCAAGGACAGGGTCAAGTTATCCATGAAAACCGTTTTCTTGTCAGCATTGACCTGGCTTCAGACGGTCATCCTGGTCAGATACCGAGACCATGGCTTGAGTCGTGAATGGTTTATTCCCGCGGATGGATGACGATGGAGCATTCCGGTACAATGTAACTTGTTTCGTTATCTCTCGGCATTCTCCCCCGGTCCCCCCCTCTCTAGAAAGTCCCGGACGTCCGCAAATTTGTTGATATCGACTCTTCTTCCATCTTCATAACTCGTAATGGGGTCCCTGCTCTCGCACCAGCCGTTGAAGGCTCTGGGATATCTCGGATTTGCCCTTTTTGTTACACCTTGCTTTCTGCTAGTAAATTCGTCCCGTTTCCTCTTCAGCTCACTCCGTCAGGATCCAGCATGGGGTATGAAAACTGCCTTGATGTGCGCCTACGTGCGCCTCATCACCAAATTCGCGTCGCTTGTAAGGGACCAACCGTATGAGCAAGCCAAAGCTGCAACATTCAAGGAGCGTTGCGTGAAAATCGAGCCTTCCAACCCCAAGCACTTCATCGGATCCGTCGCCGAGGGCAGTGTAAAACCCAAGACGACTACCGGTGTCTGGTTTCCAAACCTACCACACACCGCCAAGCCCGACGAGAAGGTCGCCATTCATTATCCAGGAGGAGCATTCATCCTTGCGTTTGGGGTTGAAGTGGTTGGTGCCCTGATGGCTGATAACCTGGTGGGAAAGCTGGGCGCCGACAAGATGCTCTACGCCCAGTACCGCCTCGCCCGCGACGAAGAGTCTCGCTTCCCTGCTGCTGTGCAGGATGCCGTCACATTCTACAGTTACGTTTTATCACTTGGCTTCAAGCCGGAGAATATTATCGTTTCCGGTGATTCTGCCGGGGGAAACGTCGCACTGGCCCTACTTCGATATCTTGAGACAAAGAAAACCGATCTTCCACTGCCCGGTGCTGTTATCACCTGGTCACCATGGGTCGCGGTGCCCTCAGATGCCGGGCCTAAGTTTGACGCGCAACCTAACTCTCACAAAGACATCCTATCCGGAGCGATTCTACAGTGGGGTGCCGACTCATACAGACCAGGCTCAACGTTAGATGAAGAAGTTGAGGCAATGGTAAACCCATTGCATCATCCCTTCAAGACCCGAGTGCCGATATTTTTGCATGCGGGTAGTAATGAAGGATTTTGCCCAACAGTCAAGGAGTTCTCGCAAGAGATGGCTACGCTCAACGGACAAGAAAGGACCAAGTACCATGAGACGCCATTAGCACCGCATGACATCTTTCTCACGCATCCCGCTGTTGGAATGGGTGAGCAGAAGAACCAAGCCATTGAAATAGCTCGCTCCTTTTTAGAGAAACGCCGCAGAGGTGTTGAACAACCTCCACCTGAAGATGACCTATAGACCACTGGTATACAATTGAACTTCTTTCAATGTTGTTTTTATAGAACTAAAGTAAACAAAATGAGAAATTGCTGTAACTCCGAATAAACAAACAATCGACGTTGATTTTCAAAGACTCTGATTCTCTAGAAGACCACGGAGACCGCCAGATGTGAAGACACACTTTTAGAGTTGAGGCTATCACGATTAAATAAGCTTATTTAGAGATATGCGAGCAGATGTAGAGGTAAATTGAAATCCTTGGAAGTAACTAAATCAAAATGGTGCAGTTGTAACGTAGCATCAAAGTCGACCCCGTATTCCCTTTATCAGTACTGAGGATCATCAGGCATTAGTTGGACAGAATACGACGTCTTAGCCTTTCTAGCCGTTTTATGACCCACCTCGATGATTGCCATTGATGCGATAACTCGTTAGAATACCCGGCAATAGATATGATATTCGCGAATACGGCGATCCTAGGCTGAATGATACAGAATCACATTTGCCTAAATTACAGCCACAAAATCCTGGTATTTAACTTCCCTCTTATTGGTAACGTTCCATGATGCTTTTGAGAAGTTAGGATGACTGGCGCACAATTCTATTGGCGGCCTCGTAGTATGTGATGGTTATATATCATCCCACATTGCCTATCCCAAGGACCTGTACATGTGCGAACTCTCAAGGAAATCATGGTCTCCTTGAGAAACTTTCTAAGTACGGTTTCCTATGGCCTTGCCATAGGGGCGGTCGATGCTAAACCGACTCCATCTCAGACTACGTCGGCTGAGGTGCCGGCCTTCACATACAATGCTACCTCTTTTCTCCTCCATGGAAAGCCCTATACCATAATCGGGGGCCAGATGGATCCCCAGCGTATCCCTCACCAGTACTGGAGGGATCGCCTCTCCAAGGCCCGAGCTATGGGTCTCAACACCATATTCAGCTACATCTTCTGGAATAATCTCGAGCCAACTCAGGGTCTCTGGTTATCTGATGATCCACAAAATGACGTGGCTGAATATTTTAGAATTGCTCAGGAGGAGGGTCTGAATGTTGTCCTCCGGCCAGGCCCGTACATATGTGGTGAGCACGACTGGGGAGGCTTTCCCGCCTGGCTTAGTGAAATCCCCGACATGGTTGTGCGCACGAACAACACCCAATTCATGGAGCAAACCGAAAAGTATATCGTGAATCTGGCGGAGAAGTCAGGCCTCGCAGATCTGCAGGTCTCGCGCGGCGGCCCGATACTTATGGTTCAAGTTGAAAACGAATATGGGTCCTTTGGCGAGAATCACAATTATACTGCCTCGGTGAGAGATATCCTCTTAGAGAGTTTTGAGGTTCCACTTTACACAAACGACGGAGGTGACTCTTGGCCTCTTGAGGGTGGCTATGTCCCGGGAGTGCTTGCGGCAGTTGACGGTGGTTCCTGGGCGCTGCCAGCTCGCGACCTGTACATCAAAGACCCTACATCTCTTGGGCCATTGTTGAATGGAGGTATGTCATTCCAGAGAGCCAATCACGAGGTACAGAATGACTAATCACCAGAGTGTTACATGTAGAGTACTATACGTGGTCTCCAGATCAATGGGGATCCTACAATCCGCACAACACTACAGTTGGGAACGACGGCGCTGTTGCACAAATCTTGAATGACATCCCTTACCACTTGCACAACTACTCCGCATCTATCAGCTTTTACATGTTTCACGGGGGCACAAACTTTGGCTTCGAGAATGGGGCTTTGTGGCAGAATCGCACCACTGTCTTCACCAACTCCTATGACTATGGTTCACCACTAGATGAGACAGGCCGCACAACTGATCTCTACTTCAAAATGCGAGGCGCAATTATCCCTTTCCTGGACGGCGAGGCCATCCCAGAGCCACCAGAGAACCTGCCGAGGGCTTCAATTCCTGAAATCTCGCTCTGTCCTGTCACCAGTCTTTTTGATGCCAGAGGCAAAAAGACGACTTCCTCATCGCCTCTTACTATGGAAGCGCTCGGCCAATCCTACGGCTTTACGTTGTACGAGCACACTGCAGTCGTCGAAATTAAAGGATCCATCAATGCCGGCGATCGCCCTCGTGATCGGATTTTAGTCTATGTAAACGAAAAGATCGCTGGAGTCATGGATAGCCAATACCAACATCCACTGAACGTGAGTGTGTCGCTGAAACCTGGCGACAAGTTGCAGCTGCTCGTCGAAAATCTTGGACGTGTCAACTACTACTCGCGGGGAAACCCTTACAAGAACTATCTCCAAGATCCTTGGAAAGGTATCAAGGGAGATGTCTCTATTGACGGGGACATGCTGAACGGCTGGGACATGTATTCGATGCAGTTGGACAAGTTGCCATCTGGAGATTGCAAGCGTTCTCTTGAGGCAGATTATCGCTCGACAGACTCGCCGCTCATATATCGTGGTTCATTCGTTGGTCCACCAATACAACAAAACTCATCCATGACGCTAGATACTTTCATCGCTGTTCCAAATGGCATCAAGGGAAATGTGTGGGTAAACAACTTCCATCTGGGCAGATACTGGTTAGTCGGGCCACAACAGTCATTATACCTTCCGGGGACCATCGTGAAACCGGGAGAAGTCAATGAGGTGGTGATTTTGGAACTGGAACCTTGGCAGATGAACACAACTTCAATGGTAGCACGTGGTGAATCGGAGAGGTTCTGGGATAATAACCCAGACCCGGACTGTCTGGTCTGTATATAAGACTGTCTTACAGTTGGAAAAGTGAAGCTAGCTATTATTTATACCATATAGTTCTTCCGGACAGCGGCTATCATTCAACGAAGATTATTATACTCCACGATTTTCACAGTAAAACTATTCTGGAGAGCTTCGGGTCCCTTAGTCCCCGCTGTCTTCCCCTTGATCGTTGGAATCGTTGTCCACTAAAGAGCCAACTAGCAATTCAGCTAGTTCAGCCGGTTCCTTCACGTGCACGCCTTTCTTCGGAACTGCAAGGTACACCTCCCATGCAGGGTCGATGGTACGGCTTATCAGCTCAATGTCGTGACTCACCAGGCCCTGGTATATCCACGAATCGGGAAAGACCTTGAAGAGGAGTATGTAGTACGCCACGGTGACGAGGGCAGCCGGGTTCTCCTGCCTGACCAGATCGAGGAAGCGCGCCGGGATCACGTCAAAGGACCACCCCTTGATCTTCTTGAGCAGGAACAACGGCTCGTACCCTCCATCGACGAGGGCGATGAGCCTGCCAAGCTCCCTGGCGGCGGTGTAGACGGCCGACGTGGCAGCATCGCCGTCGCATTTGGCTATGGCGCGTTGAATATCAGGCGGAATAACCGGAACCCCCAGACCGTCGGTAAAGGATCCGTAGAGACCGCTGGGTGAATTCCCATCATCGTCTTCAGGTGAGGACGCCGCTGGCCGGTACGAAACGCGGAAGTTGCGCTGTCCCAAGGCAAGTGTCATCCAGTTGGCAATCCACAGGCCAGGCTGGCTGGTGAGGCGGTCCGTCGCGAAGGAGGTGGTCGCGAGAAGCACGGACGCGCCCCTAACGGCATCGAGACTCGCCTCGGTTATCGTGGCGACGGCCCTCCGCAGAGCACGCAGCGCCTGGTCCCGGTAGAGGTAGACGGGGAGACTGGCGAGCGAAGACGGGTCGGTGCTCCCGAGGTGGACCATGGCGACGAGGAGCAGGGCGTCCAGGAAGAAGTCGTGCTGGAGGGCGAGCTGGGGGGCGTCGACCCTCAGCGGCCTCAGGACGCCGTCGGGAAAGGCACTGGCGAGATCTTCGCACGTGGAGACGCTGTAGTGGTGCATCAGCCGCAGGTCGAGCAGCTGCTTGGCGCTGTAGTGAGGACCCTCGTCCATCTGCTGGACCATGGGCTGCTGCTGCTGCTGCCGAGTCTCACTACACTGAGCTTCTACTGACGGATCGGGCTCATGTTCTGCCCTTCTTCTGGACTGCCCACGACCAGCATCGTAGAGACAGTCGATCCCGCGACGTGTACACGCGTTACATCGTGGTTTGGTCTCGTCACACTGCCCGGCCCAGTTAGCCTTCATGTTGTGTGAGCCACAAGAGCAGGGGATGGCCTACCTTGACACGTCGGGACTTGCAGCCACTGCAACCCGTCTTGGACTTCTGGTGGAAGCGAATGCTGTTTGACATTGCTCGGCCTCATTGTTCTCCCAGTCAAAGTTGAGGGAGAGCAGGAATCTGGAAAAAAACCTTGAAATGATTCGCGTTCCTTGCGCCACAATAGGGGGCATATAGCGAAAAACGGCCCCACCACATCACCCTGCTCTTCATCTTCATACTCACCTTCACTACCTTCGCAGGTTAGGATATAGCACAAAATTTCATAAGCAGGATTGGGCTTAATCGGTTCACTCTTGGCTTCTTCTTCAACGTCTAAATGTCTGGTTCAAGACCAGTATGACGAGTGGCGCTCGGAACCTAGTGTCTATCATTCATAGCTACCTTTGTCACGTTACATTGAAGATGCTCATGATCAATGTCAAGTCTATTGCAAATTTATTCTAACAACACCATCAGAAGAAGAAAGATAATATTACAGTACACCCAAGAAACAAACTCAGCCACCACACCATTTACCACCAACGCTCCACTTACAACAGCTCCTCACCCTCCAAGCGCATGCTCTTCCTCGGATATACCACGTACTCGGATGGATGGAGGTAGATCAGAGCGACGAGAACGCCAAACATCAAGGTCGCGTCGCACACGTAGATGTAGGCCTCGCTCGTGAGCATGGGAGAGTCGTGGCCGCCTGTAAACTCCACGAGGCGAAAGATGGACCGGGTGAAGATCAGGGCGCTGGCCAGGAAGAGGACCAACATGACGCCTCTCCACCCGCGTTTCTTGCTCTGCAGATCCAGGCGCTCCGAAGCTGGCGTTGGTTCCGTGCTCAGCCGTCGGTAAAACAGCATCGCGGCGAGGAGGAAGAGCCCGAAGAAGAGGATCTGCACAACAAGTCCTACGAGTATGATCGTCTTGCCGAGGCTGAAGTTGCTGGTTAGCAGGCCGGAGCCGGCGAGCTGAACGATAAAGGACACCAGGTCGCCGCCGACGAAAACCTTGGTGAGCCAGGAGGGTCGGACGATCGAGTACGACTCAGCATGAACCGTGCGAATGAGGCGACCGAGGACCATGTAGATGGATGCGGCGAAGAGGGCGGGCGCAACCAGGATGCACAGCGTCTGGATGATGAAGAAGGTGAGGTTGGCGACGTCTCGGCTTCCCAAGTATCGAGTGACGTAGCCAATGATCTCCACTAGTATAACTCGTTAATTGACAAGAGGTTTCTTGATTAGACATGGCAAGAGTAGCGGTTGCCGAGTCGGCAAAGCTGAAGAACGGAGAGTGAATGTAAAGGCTAAACGTACGGGCACCACCCAGAATGAGCGGTATAAAGTACCAGACACGCCTGCGAAACATGACGATAACATGCCAGACGGTACATATTGTGAATAAAACCAGGAATATCATGGCCGCCACGGGGCTTGGTTCATACCGGTAAGGGTTGCTGCTTGCCATCGTTCAAGACCAAGTAGTTGATTTCTTGCACAGCTTATGGGTGATTCTGCCATGAGACGACCTTGGATTGTTCGTCCTAACTGTATACTAGGGAGGCAGCACGGGATATTTGTAGTAGGGATAATTGATTCACCATAATGTAGCCTCGTATTAGACAGTGGCACCTCATATCCCGCATCTCGCAAATCGCACATCGCTTATCGCACAACCGCTTGCCGCATAACTCAAGCTCATGTCCCCTGCCAGTATGAAAATAGCTCCCACCAATAAGAAGACAAACTAATCTACAGACTAACTATTTTAGATTGCCGACCCGGCTGTCTCTTTAAGAGTATTAGTTCGTGTAGTTGAGCTCTAATATCTCTTCCGGTCTGGATTAGTGTTTTGAGAGTTGGGAGCCCTTTCGCGCCAAGGCACTCAGTATCCTTGATTTTGAGCTAGTTGAGACAGGAGCCGTTATAGACTCATACAGTGTATCCAATGAATATCTTCCTAATCGCCTTAACCCAGGAGGGAATAATCGATAAATGAGAAAGGGAGCTACGGACTTTTAGAACTTCCCCTTTACCTTGACCATCTAGAGGACTTGGAAATGGAGCCCTTAACCGACGGCTGGACAGGCAGACAGGCACATATATTCAAATCGAACAACGCAATGATAAAATAGTTCAAGACATTAAACTATAAGCCATAAAGAGGATTTATTATATACCGACCATTATGGTTATCACTGTAAACATCAAACCTTTAGATCCATTCCTTCTGTGACGAGAATCTGTGAGATATTTCAATCGGGCTGATTGAATAATCAACCGATAGTCAATCATTACCAAAATTCACAGTTTTTCTATTTTCAATGCCTTGATGTGTGTTCGGGGTTCACCAACCGGAGTTCAACGAATCCATCCATAAGCCGAGGCACGACAAGTGGCATGAGAAATAAGCAATGGCATGGCATCTGAACGCTCCGACCAAGCCTTGGCTGCATGAGTCTGAGACAGCCAGTAATCACGACGAGAACAGGGATCGCGGCAGTGGAGCCTCGCACTCGCTTCAGTCTGCTCGCATATGGACAAATGGAGGCATTGCAGCGGACAGCAGATCCCTGTCTATGCTTCCCGTCCTACCTATTACGATAAGTGCCGAGTGAGCTGCTGCTGTGCCCCTGGAAAAGCGTGATGGATTCAAATACCGCCGGAGCTGCCACAATCCATCTCGTAGCTGATCACAGCCAACCTCAATCCGAATCATTCTCACAATGGCTCAAGAATGGGATGTCATCGTGGTCGGCTCGGGCATTGGCGGCATGTCCACGGCCTCCCTCCTGGCCAGAGCCGGTAACAAAAAGGTCCTTGTGCTCGAAAAGCACTTTGAACGAGGTGGCCTGACGCATGTCTTCCGACGCGATGGCGCGTCTTGGGACGTCGGTGTGCATTACGTGGGCAACTTAGGAGAGGGCTCGAGAACGCGCCTGTTTTACGACTTCATGTCGAGCGGCGCCCTTCAATGGAACCGTATGCCGGAAGAATTCGAGCGATTCATCTATCCGGGTCTTGAGTTTCATGTGCCATCCGATCCCGCCAAGTACCAGCAGCGGTTGATTGAGCAGTTCCCAGACGAAGCCGCGGCTGTACGACGATACTTTGCTGATGTGAGAACGGCGGCCCAGTGGCATGGCAGGGGGTTTCTGCAGCCAATCCTTCCGTGGCCCCTGAGCTGGATAATGGCTGTATTACGATGGTGGACTCGTAGTAAAGCAACCCAGACGACCCAGGAGTATCTCGATGAGAACTTCGAATCCGCCAAGCTCAAGGGACTTATTGCCTCGCAATGGGCCGATTATGGCCTGCCGCCTTTCGAAGGCACATTCGCACTTCACTCGATTGTTGTCAACAGCTTCTTTCACGGCGGCTGGTTCCCGGATGGCGGCTCCAGTCGAATCGCACGCACATTTGAGACTGCCATTGAAGCTGCAGGCGGTGCCGTGAAGGTGTGCAAGGAGGTCACAAGCATCATGACCGACAGCAGTGGCCGCGTAACCGGTGTCAAGGCTCTTGATCTCAGTGGCGACAGCCCGATTGAAATTGAATACTATGCGCCCGTGGTTGTGTCTGATGTCGGCGCTCACCTTACTTACAAGACGCTGCTGCCCACCGATGGCAGGATTGGACAGCTGACAGCTCCGATTCGGCGCCTTGTTGATCGTGTCGGCAGCAGCGTCTCAGCCGTCACACTGTACATCCGTCTAGCCAAGCCTGCGTCTTCGTTTGGTATCAAGGGAGAGAACTTCTGGGTCAATACGACCTTCGACCATAATGATTTTGACGCCCATGCCAAGTCCACTCTTGCAGGCAAGCCACATCGATTATTCATGTCATTTCCATCCGCGAAATCTGGCGACGAGCGTTTCCACACCGCCGAGATGATGACCTTTGTGAAGGGGGATGTGTTCGCAGCCTGGCATGCGACCAAGCATGGCATGCGTGGCAATTCGTACCTGGAACTCAAGGACCGAATCTCTCAGGGTCTCTTGGACCTCGCGGAGACGGTCGTGCCCGGTTTGAAGGCCTCCATTCTGTACTCTGAACTCTCAACGCCACTCTCGGTCGAGGATTACGTCTCTAGCCCCGGAGGAGGAATTTACGGGTTGAAGGGAACGCCCGAGAAGTACCGCAACTGGAGCATCCTGACAAGACCAAGAATCTCGGGACTCTTCCTCAGTGGTTCCGACATGTCATGCCTGGGAGTCTCCGGCGCCATGATGGGCGGTGTCATGGCCGCAAGTCAGGTGCTTGGTCCCTTTGGCTTTTTCAAGATTATGAGAGCGATTCGGCTCTCGAAGGAGGCATCGGCTACGCCAGCAGCCGTGCTGAAGTCTTCAGAAAAGAAGAGCGCCGTGGTCGTATCCAAAGCCGCACTGACCCCTTTCATCTGGCGGCTGGAGCTGGAACTCGAGGAGAAGGTGAAGTTTATTCCAGGCCAATTCGCATCACTTCTCGTGGCACCATTCGAGTGGCGTAGCTATTCAATTGCGTCTTCAGAGGAGAACCTCCTGTCGCTGCTCATCAGCACTCGCACCGGCGGCGAGGGGTCCAAGTCAGTTGAGGAAATAGAGATAGGGGCCAGGACTGAGGTCGAGCTGCCATTTGGCTCGTTCCGCCTGCGACAGAACGATAACCGCAAGATATTCGTCGCTACAGGCACGGGTATTGTTCCTTTCCTTCCCATGTTTGCGGCAATGAAGGCAGCGGGTGATCTTGAGTCGTCTGAGCTCTATTTTGGATGCCGGTATGAGAAGGAGGACATTACCCACGGACTCTCGCCTCTACCGAAGACTACCGTCTGCGTGAGCGGTGAAAACGCAGCCAAAGATTTCTTCCAGGGACGAGTAACAGCAGCGCTCGGCGCGCTTACATTCGATGCCGAAGCAACAGATTTCTATCTCTGTGGTTCGCCGGCAATGGTGAATGATTGCCAAGTCCTGTTGACCAAAGCAGGGGCTAAACAGATATATACTGAGCCCTATTGAGGGCCTGAAAACCATGAATGTGTTAATGAGAAGCGTCTAGCGCATTTGAATGGACTCCTCGGGTCGGTGCGTTTGTCGCGTTACATGTTCCAGAACTGTAAAGTATCAAGAATATTCTTGTACAATGAGACATGCTAAGTTTCCACGTACAACTTTGTCTATGTTGTCTAAGATTTCAATGTTGTTGACTGCCAGAGTGAGATGTTGGTCTGTAGGGTAGGCTCAGATTGTTGGTTGGCACAGATTTCCTCCACGGATCTCTTCCACGGAACATCTGCCACATTTTAAGTGATTACTGATCGGGTTCAACCTCGCTCAACTGCGTCGGTTGAATATCAACGCCGATTAATCTCCACTCCCCGGTCGAAGATGCAACAAAATACCGGCCTTCGATGGTCTGATGAATCGAGCTTACAAATAGACCTCATTACTAAAGATATCGCCATGGGCAGAAGGGAATTATTTAAACTGCTCAGAGTCTGCAATAATTGGCTGTGCTTAGCTCGCTACCTACCCAACAATACAACACAGTGTACTCCTCCTTATATTCAAACCACGAACTCACAGTCGAAATGGCAACAGAAACACAGAACGCGATTTTCCTCGGTCCCGATGGAGAGGTCGATGTCAAGAAGGTCGCCCAAGACTACAAGCCAGCAGAAAACCAGGCCCTTGTCAAGGTCAAGTATTCCGCTATCAATCCCGCCGACCTTCGACACTCCTACATGGGCTTGCACGGCCATGTGGCCGGATACGAATGGGTAGGAACCGCCGTTGAGGTGGGAGATTCCTCGCCTTTCACGGTTGGCCAGGAACTTTTCGGCATGGTGGATGTGGCAGCCAATAAACCGCAGTATTTGGGAGCTCACCAGAATTTCCTCATTGCTGATGGGTAAGTAAAGATTCATGTCTGGGTTCGGTGGACAATGAATTAGAAAACATATCATTGACTTTGATTACTAGGACCCAGCATACATGGGCACTGCCCAAAGGTCTGAGCCCGGAGGTAGCAGTAGGGATGCCAGTAGCTGTGCAGACAGTCGCTGACGCCCTGTTCAATGCATTTGGCTTCGGTTTCCCTCAAGCTAACATATCGGGCTCTGATACAACTGATACCGCGATCCTTGTCTGGGGAGGAGCATCTTCCGTCGGAGCGGCAGCCATTCAAATCGCCAAGCTGGCAGGATTCAGCCCAATCTTCACCACGGCTTCGAAGCACAACCACGCAAGCCTCGAGAAGCTCGGGGCAACGCAGTGCTTCGACTACAAGAGCCCAGAAGTGGTGCAGGAGATTAAAGCTGCCGTCGCCAAATCTGGAAAGAAACTAAGGGTTGCCTTTGACGCCGTGTCTGCCAACATCCCCGTGTTTGGCACAGTCGTACCTGAAGGGGCGATAAGCAGCTCCGACCTCGCCCGGCAGGCGTGTTCTGAGGATGTCCTAGAGAAGGATCTGCTGCTGTGTGGTGTCCTCCCCGTCCCCACTGACCCAACATGGAAGTTCTGTCTCGGGGTACGAAACTACGGGGACAAGCTGAAAGCTTTGGGAGGGGTTGCCCAGGATCCAGAGTTCCCCGTCCGTATGAACAAGTTTATAGTTTGGCTAGTGGCTAATCACGAGAAACACTGGCAGCAGGGGCTTCGTATTACCAAAGTCAAGGGTGCAGAAGAGGGGGTTCGGCAGATACGCCGTGTGTTTGGTGGCGGTGCCTCCATGGAGAAGGTTCTCATCGAGCGGCCTCTATGAGCTATCCAAGTGTAGAACCGAGAAAGATCTCGTAGAAGATCAACATTGTTACATTCATTCAGGATCACTACTCTCTTTCGTCCTCGCAAAGCAAGCTTGGAGATCTTGGTAGTCAAGTTAATCTCAACTGTCTAATAGACCAGTGCATCCCAACCATTCAACGCGTGCCACTAACATTAATTTTCTCAACAATAGTTCTCTCATTCACTCCTCGAAACTTATTCTTCTACTTGAAAGAATAGCTTGCAGAACTGTGCACTGTAGTCCCATCTCCCCTATCCTTACTTGGGGAGTACATCCTTAGGGTCGTTGGGCTTTCTCTGCTGCTTCTTCTTGGGCTTTGTGTTGGGCTTTGTGTTGGGCTTCGTCTTTGGCTCCGTCTTTGGCTCCGTCTTTGGCTCCGTCTTGGGTTCCGTCTTGGGCTTGTCTTCGGTCTTGGGCTTCGTCTTGGTCTCCGTCTTGGGCTTGTCTTCTGTCTGGAGATTGACTAGGATCTTTGGCTTGGTTCCGTTCTTGAGCGGGGGCGACTTAGCTCCCATCACCGTCACCAGCTGGTCGATCTTGTTCTTCACCTCGTGGAAGGTGGGCCTGGCATTATCAATCTGGGCCTCGACGTCGTCGATGAACTTCCTGACGGGGCCCTGCACTTGCTTCTTCAGATCCTCATAAGTATCCCGCGAGATCTCGATTTTGTCCAGCGCGGGCTTCGCATCATCCCAAGCCTTCTTAATCGTTTTGGGCGAGACCACCTCCTCTGTCAGAGCGCGCTTCCCTTTCGGTGTAAGCTTGGAATTCAGGTCACCCAGGAGTCTCGCACCGAGATGGTACCCGTTGGCATAGGTACGGCAAAGGCTCTTCTTGTCCTTTTTCTTCTCCTTCTCGCACGAGTGGTAGAGGCTTGAGAGAGAGAAGACTAGGTCAGTACGGAGCTTGCAAGTATGAGGGTGGGAAAAAGGCATACTCTTCCTTGAACAGCTCGTCAATCTTGAGACGTGCAAGATCGTCGAAGCGATCCTGGGCCTTGTAGTTTACAAAGGCAAAGTCGTGGCGAAAGCAGGCGTTCTGTTCCCCAGCTGTTAATACAAGATATACATGCCTATAATCAAACGTCTTGGAGAGGAGAATCTTACCAAAAAGTCAAAATTCAGAGGCTTGTCCGGCACAGATGTGCAACCGTCACTCTCCCAGTTCAGAGAAGGAGGATCTTGCTTATTGCGCTTCTCGATGAAATCCTGGAGGCTCGTCTTGAAGAGCAAGTCATCGGTCTTCCTCACGTTTATCTTCTTATTAGACTTCTTATTCTTGGAAGAAGGAGCAGCGAGGGCGCCACCGGCCAGGAACAAGGCAACAATGCCGGGCTTCATTGTGGCTGAGGAAAACGAGCAATGAGAAGGGAGGTTGAAACAAGCGGTAGTATCCTCAGGCGGATAGAGTGATGGATAGATGTTTACGGATCTGCCCGGTCACGTAGGTAGTGTCTCAAGGGACGTAAATTGGAAGGCAGGGTGAAGGCTTTGGGGGAAACGTGGTCTATTTATAGGTGTATAGAGGGCTAATTTCATCTGAGTAAAGGACGTATGGGAATTTGAACATAAAGTTAAAAAGCAATGGGAGATGCCACATAGCCGACATCTCAACACGGACGAAGTGTGTTACGTGTAAGTTTGCTGTGACGTTATGCTACCAACATGCTATCGCAAATGGGCATAAACCTGGGCTTTCCAATTCAGAACATCTAATACGAACTGTCCTTGCCTCGGGGATTTCCAGCATGCAATGAAGTTAATATCCTTCAAGCGGCCGGCTTTCATTGCCCAATTATTTCTCTCCTTTATTCAGTTCTTGTAATTCATTCATCCATTTCGTGTAAGATTTGGCCACGTAGCCTCCGACGATGCCTCTAGTAATGTACACGGAGAGGGAACATGAAGGTTTAGCTTCAAATTTTCTACGCGCCCCCGACAAAACAACAAACGCGTCAAGCATATAGAAAGACGCGTGTGAAAGAATTTCATTTCTGCAGCGCCCAGATAGCACAGGCAATTTATGTCTCTGCAATGCTCGAATTGTTGCTTTAACATTCTTCATACTCCTGAATACTGGTCGTCGTTGATTTACTCTACATCCTCTTATCTGAAGTGACCCAGGCAGTTGTCCCATTCATATGAGATGTTTTTCCCCTACGTATGACCTTTAATAACAAGTCGCGTTATGATGGAAACAAACTTTCTGCATCGCTGAATCCTCGAACACGAGAACTCTACGTGTCCCAAAAGCCCGCGTAAAACTCATAGAGGCGGTCGTATAGATGGCAAGGCAAACTTTTCAAATTGAAGTTAGTTACATATTCTTGTTCAAGCGCTCAAGTTGATGCAAGTTGTCCACAATGAAAAGAGTTCAGGGCAAGTCCTACCCCCTCCATAACGATATCCACCGCGAGATGGATGGGCTCGTCGCCGTACTTCGCAAGGTCCTTGAAATGGCTCTGGAACGCGCCCTTGTTACTTCCAAATCTCGTGTACATCTCCTGCAGCTCATGAGTGATGGTACAACACTATTATGGGTCAGGAACCGGGACTAAACACGACCAAGTTCGTCGTCACTGGCTGAGGCCTAATAATACACAATGGGTTTTAGCCTTGAGCGTCCACTTGCACGAGAATTAATCTGAATAAACCCGAATTCATCTTCCGCCTGACATGGAGAGCAGGGGTTCTCAGCAGTCTCAGCAGGCCAGTCATTGAAATCATTGATGCCTTGAAGAGGTGTAACCAAGATGAAGTGCCATAAAGTAATTTATGTTTACCATCAATTTCCCTAGCTTGTGGTTAGCTTGCTTGGGTAAAGAGAAAGGTGTTGTAGGGTGAAAAAGAACGTTGCTTGCCAGATTCGAACCGATGACCTTGTGGAACAATCTTCTTTGGCGGCAAAGCTTCCAATTTCTGGAGAAATAAATTTGTTCGGATCAACTTTTGGCCGCACGGGTGGGTGTGGCGCATGATTGTCTCCAGCAAGTACTCTGCGGTCTCTTAGCTCTCAGTTTCTCCCACACTTCCCCACATTTTCGTTGAAAATACATATAGCTACAAGCAAAGACTTCGTGGCCCAAGCCACGGGTACTCAACATTTGCAGTCAAAGAGGCGTCTTGACAATAAAATACGACTGAACAGTAAAGCAGACAGATTTTGCTTGGGTAATTCCGTTATTTTGTCATGTTATACACTGCCAGCTTCTGAATATACGAAGGGTCAGTCAAGCTACAAATGACGAGCTTTTGGAGCGTTCAAAATACGCTGGAAGTGAGCAGGTGATCCCAAGGAATTCTGTTCGATAATTACATAAACCGAAACATAATGCTAATCTTACCGGCGATTTATAGGATATTGATATTATCGCAATACACAGTGACATTTTATCACAGGAAGACTGTCCACTCATTTGCCATTGGGAGCTTGGGTTCATCGTGCAGTAGTTGGGTATAGGGTAGGCAAAAGAAAGGTGTGGATACCGCAATCATTTCCAGCGCCCAATCAACGTTCGAGCCTTCAATTCGTGCTCGCTGCCTCACTTCACCAGCCCAAGAAGTAAGATGAGGCAGAGGGAGCAGCGAATCTATACATTATAATAAGCCTTCTTGCTCGCATTCACATGCGCCTGCCCTGCTAAGCGCACGTGAGTGAGTTTTATGAAACAAAATTCGACCAGTGATAGCGATCACGGCGATGATTTCCAAGTCTGGCAGCGGGATGCATCATGGATGAATTCATTATGACGTGGATTGTCTCCACCATTGAGTTGCCACTCATTATAAAACAATGACTCTGTATCCCGAGAAACAGTTCTTGAGGCTCAACAACCAGTAAATGCTCAATTCATAAAGCAATTCATCAATTTAACTTGCCCATCTCACAATGTCTTCATTCTACTCCTCGTCCACTAGCCAGAGCTACTACAGTAGCACCAGCAAAGACGGCAAGACGGACACGCACGCCTTCTCAGAACAGACCAGGACCAACCCACAAGGCACAACCATTCGCACTGCATACAAGGACAACAACAAGCCCGTCCAATACACCGAGGATCGTATCCCGGCTAGGAATGCACACCTGGAGGGCTCAGCCGGCAGTGACACATCTCGTCGCATTGAGGACGTGAGCCAAGAAGAAGCCGATAAACGATACACAGAGGCTATGGAGGATGAGTATGCGAAGAGAGAAGGCGGGGCTTGAAATCGATCAAGGGTATGGGAATTAGTTGGTCAATGTTGCGTGGATAAATGAATGAATTAATACATAAAAATCTCTTGGTTACATTCGCTTCACAAACCACCATTGTAGTAAAACTATCCTTGTCATTCACTCAACACACGGCCTGACCTATACATGATTGACCACCGGGTGTTGTATGTAATGGCACTTCTCCAGACGAGACATCCACAGTTAGAAAGATGTCTAGGTAAGGTACCTGAACCCACTTCCAACGGTGTGTTGTCCAGCTGCCTCCTCCTCTGCCTCCTTGGCCTCCAGCTTGCGATTGGCACGCTTTAGCACGAAATGGAGGAGAATGCTAGCGCAAATTGCAATAAAGGCCATACCAGCGTTCACACTGAAGGCGAGAATGAACCGTGGAGCTGCGCCATTAGGATAGAGAAAGGACCCATAGATACTGCACACGGTCGCAAGAGCGTTGTTGAATGCCAGAGCTGCGGCTCGCTTGGACACAGGGCGGAAGTTTGTATTCGCTGTCCACACCATGGACATGTTGAAACCGGAGTAGATACCGGGGAGCATAATCATGGCGCCGAAGTAGCGAGGCCCAATTTGAGTAGTCGACGCCGAGATGATGAAGCCTGCAAGAGCAGCGGCGATGGACAGCGAAGTATGCCAGAATCTCTCTTGCACCCGATCTGCATTCCATGCCACCGCAGCACATACGATACAGGCTAGAAGATAAGGCGGCGCGGTGAGCAACAGGGTGGTGATCTTGTCCTTGCCCATGCTGGCAACAATGGTCGGGAAGAAGCTGTTGATGGCAATGGCTGATGCCGCGCCGTAGCAAACAACAACCAGGATCCAGTTCTTTGGGTCCTTGATAAGGAGCTTGAAGCCGTGGAAGAGTGATTGCTTTGACCCTTCAGTCCAGTCCTCCTCGCCAGCGGCATCAAGTTCCATACGCCACATGGCCATTGCTCGCTCCTCTTCGCTCAACCATTTTGTAGTAGCCGGAAAGTTGGGTAGAATGAAGAAGGTCGCAAAGGCAATCAGAACCGTGACCGAGCCCTCGATGATGAAGATCCATCTCCAAGCCAAAAGGCCACGGACGCCATTCATGCCGTTGATAATGCCAGCACCGATCAGACCAGAGAAGGCGCCGGAGATCAAAGACCCAGAGTAGAAGATGGCCGTTCGGACACCTAGCTCTTTACGGACGTACCAGGCACTGAGAGTCGCCAAGGCACCTGGATAGAATGCAGCTTCGACGAATCCGAGGAGAAAACGAGTTGCGACGAGGCTCGAGAAGCCTTGGGCGGCTCCAGTGCACGCACATAGGATTCCCTGATGCTGTTAGATAATGATTGTGCTGGAGAACAACAGCACTTACCCAAGCCATCATACAAGCGGAAAGGTATGATGCTGGCTTTCCGATCTTGTTTAGGAGCATGTTCGAAGGAACTTGCATCAGGACGTATCCCACAAATAAGATGGAAACCGCCGTCTGCAATAATTAGCATACATGCAGATCTGGTACAAAGTCAATATTTCTTACCTGAAATTCGTCTCCCTTCAAGCCCAGATCAGCTTCTAGGCCTCCAAGTCGAGCGGCGCCGATGGCGTTTCTAGCAGATGAGTATGAGCATATTGTCAAGGATGGTAAAGGCACAGTATCATACCGATCAAGATAATTCATGATGTAGATCAGAATCATGCTAGGAAGCAGGCGTATATCAATCTTGCGTCTCAGGCGAGTTTCTAGCTGTTCAAGCTCATCCTCCGAGAGATGCTGCAAGGCTGCTGGCCTCGGAGATGCAAATCGGACATTGCCATCATGTACACTGATATCGGCCTCATCCGAGCTCAGCTTTTTCTGAGTGTCTTTCTCCATGTTTGAGGTGCCTTTAGTATTTCAGGTGAGGATGTGAGTTGGCGACTGGACTCTGGAGGTCATGAACAAAGCTTCTTATACATCCTTGAGGCTCGACAAGTTTATCTCATAGTCTGGGGCTAGTACCGTCCCCCAGAGTTCCTACGATACCCCAGAATGAGGAATTGCCAAGTCTACGATCGTCCTGTACACCAAAATGAAGTTTGGGCTTGAGACGAGCCTTTAGCCCTCGGCCCAGGAGGCATGTCGGCCGTAGTGTACGATTTGTAGAGGAACTAGACCTCATTAGTTCGGTACATATCTTTGACAACATTAGCCTCTACCTCCCCCGCATTGCTGCAACTTGCGCTCTCCATAATATGACATGGCCGTGACCGGGGATATCTCCAAAGGCATGGGTAGATGATGGAAATAAGAGGTGAAATTCTCTGTAGATACTACAACTTGCGTGTTCTTTGATATTGATGATGTAGATACTTCCTGGAGAGAGTGGACAAGATGGCAAAGCGAAGTCCTAGGCAGGTCTCGGAGGAGATAAAAGTCGTCCCCGAAATGGTTTAGTCAAAGAGCTTCGACTCGATACTTCTACCGATAAGATTCATTAGACAGGATGAAAAGTTAGTTCCCATACTATGACCTCAGATAACGAGTCAGTACACTGTCGAGCCATTCGTTGCCCCCAGAGTCTCCTAATCGAAATCACCAAGATCCTGGAGTAAAGAGGTCAAAGATTCGTCATCCGTCCCGACAAATCACTGCAGGAATCGGCCGCTAATGCGAATGAGCCTATCTGGGCCCTTGCATATGAGCCGGAAATTGGAATGCATTGACGTAAACGTGGTTCGGCCGCTAACGCACACGAGCCGATCGAGTCTCTGAGCCTCCACTAGCTGGAAAATGGAGAGGCAAGGGATCGCCCACATTGTGTTCACCGTCTCGCTGCTTCTGTCACTCTTGATTTCACTACCCTCTTCACACGCAACCATGCAGACTAGGGCTGTTGTCTCCCCCAGCTAAGTGTACCCCGGAGTCGAGGTTCTGGTCACTTGACTCGTCTGACACGTCGGATGGCCTAGACAGCACTGGCCAAGTGTCTCAAGAGCCACCTGAGGCGGCAACTCCGAGGAGCAAGGGCCTGTTTTGCTTCTAGACCCTGGCTCTCGGTAACATTGGTACGACTCGCTAGTAGCCAGCAATGCAACCGCCAGCAGTGCAATCATCGGTCACTGTGTGAGTGAAAGGAGAGATCTCTCGGCAGTCATCATTTATCAAATTCGGCTTTTTTGAGTCCAAACAAGATGGGGAGATTCAAAGGCCGCAGCGCAGTTGCTTGTACTGTATGCCATTCACAAAAAGTGAAATGTGACGGTGGTACGTACTCACGCACTGTAACCTTGCCTTTCTAACTCACAAGACAAGCCCAGCCATGTGGAAGATGTGCAACTCGCAACCAGGAATGCATTTATCCCGATAAAAAGACCTACGTGACTGTCCCCGAGACCTACTTAAGGAAATTGGAGAGCGCAGTTGCCAGCTCTCACACATCTCCGTCTCTTGCCACTGGTTATAACAATGCAAGATCTGAGTACTCGGCCAGCTCCCAAAGTCCTCAGGATCCAGGCCCCGAGTCTGAGAACAGGGTAGCGGCCAGGGCTGCCATACTGGACGATGGCAGTAACGAACGTTTCGTGCATGACCTCAGGCAGTTGACCATACCAGAGAGCCCGGGCAGACTACGAGAATCGAGCGGATACACATATGTGGCCCTGAAGTTTGACTTTCTAGGTAAGACATGTTTTTGAAATTCAATTAGAACTTGAGCCTGATGATAATTAGAACCGAGGATGGTTATCAAGTTGCCGCCTCAACCATTGGCGGTGCAATTGCTGAACACTTTTGAGGAAATATTTTGTGATTATCACTGGTTCCTAAGAAGAGACTTTCGCGAACGAGTGGCTTTGATATATTCTGATCCTGATAACCAATTAAAAGACAGATGTTGGCTAGCACGAGCGTCTCTTGTCTTTGCCCTTGGTACGACATTTATTCATGGGCCCCAAGCATTAACTGGCAGCTCACCGTCAAGGCCATCCGACGTTCCATTACCTCCGGGATCAGACATGTTTGAACAAGCTGTTGCTCTGCTCAATGTTTCTTCAGAAGAGCCAACCACGGAAGATATCGAGGCACTGAACTTGATGGTAGGTTAGTTAACCACTACGTTCTGGTCTGTTGCTAAAAGTGAAAGGCGTTTTATTGCTATTGTCTGAATCGCCGTAGGATGGCCTATAAATATGCGACACAAAGCTTAGCCGTCGCGAAACTTCTTTATCTCGACAAAGCAGCCGTCCCGTCGACGAATACGGAGCAACAAGTGTTGCTAGAACATAAGAAGCGACTCTGGTGGACTTCGTTTTGCATGGAGAGAATGGTTGTAGCAGAATTAGGTATATCTCCGGCCCACGGACGAAGCAACCTGGGACTTGCACTGCCCACGGCAGAAAATATTCCTGAATCCGAGTGGAATCAGTTCTTTGATTCACGAGTGCTGTCTCTGCAGACTGAGATGTGCGAGATTAAATGCCAGATAATCGAGGCAGTGAGCCACCTGCGGCAGGTTTCAGACTTGGAGACCATGCTCTTTGAGCTGTGGCCATGCCTAAGCACTCTCCAGTCTTGGAGACAGCATGTGCCTTCCTCAATCTCTTTTGACTTTACAAAAGGGGTGCCAGTAGAGATGATTTACCTCCCATGTGCTCGTGGACTCGCCTCCCTCTATCTTCGGTATCATCAGGTATGCATCGTGCCACCAGTAAACAAGAGGGTAAATGTTGATACGATCTTGATTAGTGTTTCACTGTTATTTTACGGCCTCTTTTCTCCAAAGAGCTCTCTCTCCTCCTGCAAGGTGCAGACGCGAGTCAATTTGAGTCTGGATTGACGATGACACAACGCCAACGCATACAGGTGTTGAAAAGAGAGGGCCTCCAAGCTGCGAGAAACAACTGCAGAATCCTATTGGATCTTGTAGCCCGCGGGAAACTAGGTTCGAAACCCCATATAATGACCCCTTCTCCTCTCCACATCCATTGTTGCTAACTCGTTCCAGCCAAATTCGGATACTGGGACTCGGTCCACGCCTTCAGCAGCCTCTCCATCATGTCCATCTCGCGAGCCGTAGCGCCCGATCTCAGTGAGAGCCCACAATACAATGATGATGCATACCTTTACTCCCAGTGCCGCATCATGCTGAAGGACATGGCCGAGGCGGGGAACCCTGCATCAAAGGACCACCACCTTCTCCTCGCGGACGTTGAGAACATTGTGCAGAACTTGACGGAGAGTGCCGCCCAGGACAGATCTGCAGAGAGGCCGGTGGAGGTGGAGACGATGACCCCTTCGCTTGACCTCGGCGAACACTTATGGTCGGATGCGGATTGGGTCAATTTTCTGAATACATATTCACATACGATGTGATGAGCTATCGGATCTTGTGGAGGTTATGGGGTATTTTCACTCTATAACCTTTATTTACGTTACTCGCGGCACATAAATGATACGTTTACCTCGATTCATCAAGTAAAGGGCCATCTCCTATAAAGCTGTAGAATTAGGCATACTCGTTGAGCATGAGACAACTTCATAAGTAGATCGGCTGCCAAGGCCGAAAGATAACATGTAAGACTCAGGGCTTGATGAAGTTGAGTTCTCAACAGGTTACTGCAAGCGGTAGATACCAGGTATGTGGGGGAAAAAGGGGGCGTGGGTGGAATAAAACGTGGCATACCAATGCTCTTTTCGCGCAAGGCAGGGACCTCGGTTTGAAACTAAACACAATAATAAGAGAATAATTAGAGAGTAATAAACTATTCTATAGTATGTAGCTTGATATTGTATTCAATGCTAGGTTATTATTGTGATATTGTGTTGAAATTCAATGCTGAACTATCTCGATGTGCCATGTTTTATGTCACCCACTTGGGGGGATAAGCCCAGCTTTGAGACCGAGAGGAGTTGTCGTTTATGACCCATGTCAACTTGGGGAGCGCGGAACCAACCTCTTTCGTACAGACCTGCTAGTCCAGAAGATGATGACCATTAACATGAAAGATAGAGGTTAATCATGTGGACATGCCGGGTGAGACTGGAGTACCAGTTCCCCATGTCAGTTGCCCCTCGGCTCTAGCGGCCGAGAAGGTTACAGCTGGCAGCTAATGCACTCGGGGCCGACCCCTTAAATTAGAAACCAGGTGCAGGTCCCCTGTACCTCTGAAATGGAATATGCCACCACTTATGGAGGGACTTATCGGTCTTGCTGTAGTACAGGTACTTGTGCGGATCCAATATATGCCAAGGCAGGAATGTTGGCGATGCTACCTCCCATCCACCTCTCCACACCGGTGAGGACCATCAATCATTCTGCGTGACCCGTATATAATATTTATCTCCGTGTTGGTATATTTCCATGATGCTTATCTATGTTGACAGGCCGCCCGTACCATAATCCTGAAATATCTGTTACCCCTGTAACACGATAGCAATCCACGACTTCGCTCGTGTTGAACTCTTGACCCTTACGGCCGCAAGCTCGATCATAGCTCAACGAACTATCTAGACCCACGAGCTCGAGCCCACACATACCTCAAAAGATGACTCAAACTTCCCAGGTCGTGGTTTGCGAACAAGAGGACAAATCAGGTCCCGACCAGTTCGTGACACTGACGAACAAGCGAATCGAAAAGGATAGTCTTGGAGAGCTGGAAATTCCAGACGACGCTCTCTATGGCATCAACACTCTTCGAGCAGTCAATAACTTCCCTCTCTCGGGTCGGCCACTGGCAACATGGCCCGACTTCATCCACTCATTTGCTGTGATCAAGCACGCAGCAGCTCGTGCCAACAGTGAAGTCGGCAGTGTAACGACGCAGCAAGCGGATGCCATCTCCGCAGCGTGCGAAGAGATAAAAACCGGCAAGCATGATGCGCACTTCGTCGTTGATATCCTCGAGGGATCCGGTGGTACCTCGACTAATATGAACGTAAACGAGGTCATCGCCAATGTCGCCACAAAGGCCTCAGGTCGGGCGCTCTCTGATTACAGCTTCGTCCATCCCAACGACCACGTCAACATGGGCCAGTCTACCAATGATGTCGTCCCCACGGCCATGAAGCTGGCCGTATACCGCGCGATGCAAGGCGCCCTGGAAACACTCGGGCAACTCGCCGACGCTTTCGCCATGAAGCGTGAAGAGTACGCTTCCCTTCTTCGACTTGGGCGGACCTGCCTGCAAGACGCCCAGCCCATGACTCTTGGTCAAGCTCTTGGGGGATACGAGTCTGTGATCCGGCGCCACGTGGAACAGCTCAGCGCCATCCGTGAGCAGTTCCTGACACTCCCTCTTGGAGGCACTGCTATCGGAACAGGCTTCGGCTCGAGGCCGGGTTACAAGGCTGCTGTGTTCAAGCATCTTTCCGCTCTCCTTGGGGTTACAGTACACCCTGCGGGCAACCCGTTCGATGGCATGCAGAACATGGACACCTGTGCCCGCCTGTCAGCTGAGCTGCGCAATACCGCAAACAGTCTGTGGAAGATCTCCAATGATCTGATCTTGCTCTCATCAGGGCCTAGTGGCGGCATTAGTGAGATCACCTTGCCGTCCGTCCAGGCTGGATCATCCATCATGCCTGGAAAGGTCAACCCCGTTATTCCCATTGCAGTCTGCCAGGTTGCCTTCGCCATCAGCGGCAATGATTCTGCCATCTCTATGGCCTGTCAACAAGGCATGCTTGAAATCAACCATTTCGAGCTGCTAGTATGCGATCGTCTCTTCGAGAGTATCCGTCTGCTCAAGGGCGCCGCAGAGATATTCTCCAAACGATGTGTACAGGGACTGGTTGCCAACAAGGAGATATCTGAGCAGCATCTACTTGCTGGCAGTGCTCTGGCCACTGCCCTGGTACCAAAGCTTGGCTACGCAAAGGTTTCGAAAATTGTCCGGTCAGCTGTGGCAGAGGAGCGAAGGTTTCTTGATGTCGCCGTTGAAGAGGGTCACCTCAGGATAGATGAGGTTAGAGCAGCTCTGGAACAATCAGTTCTGGTTGATAGTTCTTCAACAGCTTAGAACATGTTTTAATACTCTAGTTGATTTGAACAACTTATCAGACCGTATGAAGCGTGCTAATTGGTGATGAGCGTACAGTGTTCTGCATTACCCAACCATCGAAGCCGTATGTAAACCCACGCATTAATAAACACTTTTTTGCTCTCATATAATTTTCAGTCTCTTTAACCTTTTGAAGCGTATACATCCCAGGTTGAATTGCTTCGGAGCAAATTGGACGCTTTGGAGTCCAGCCGTGTTAGAATATCAAGCAAAACCGAAAAGTCAGCACGTGCTCTGGTGGCCAGAGGCGAGTTCTGATTCCGATGAATTATCGCTAACAAGCTGGCTCCGATGAGCCGAATCTTCTCAACCTTTCGAACAGTTAAATGGATTGAAATTTACTAGGTCTGCGGAAAGGGCAACTTACGTATGGCTCCCCATTAACCTGTAACGACCAAAATGGTGCCTCGTGCATCACTCGCAACATATCCCTTGCTATTTCGGTCTTTTTTAGGTCTGCCTGCTCAATGCTCGTGCCAAAGCATGTTGGAAGATCCAGTTTCTCCGCGATTGCCATCTTAAGGCAGTGTAGCGAGACCTGTAGATTGGCACACTGGATGATAAATTGCTTGGACTGCGTCGTCGTCTCCTTTCCCCCAGCCGCGATAGCTGCAAAGGTGTATGACTGCAGATATGGTGGGAGGTCGTCTAGACATGTGATGAAGTTTACATACAGCGCGTCGAGGCGGCGACGCTGCTCGTTTGTCAACAGAGCTTGGGGCGGAGCCGAGGCCATCCCCAGGTTTTCCCTGTCATGGATGAGTCGGGCCTCTAACAGAACATCGGATGCTGCTTGCCAAAGCCGCAAGTTCGCATTGAAGCCTTCGATAAAGTTCCTGCGACTACTGCCTGGCGATGGTGCCTCGTTTCCCGGCGAAGGGCCAATAGAGGACTCGTCTTCGATGCCGGTTGGGTACGAGGTCGTGATGCCGGCTTCGAAAGAGTACTTGTGGATGGTGATGGGTCTATTGTTCAAGATGGCGGCAGACTTGTCGCCCATGTACACAATCCAGAATGCCCTTCGTCTCAGTTCAGCTTCGACGGGGAACAGACCCTCGAGGGACGACTCTTCGTGTAGCTGCATCACCTGTGCCAATCGTGTGGCCTCACCAAAGATGTGCCATGAGTATTTTGGCTTCCCAGCTGCGTGAAGGCAGTTGGAGTGAAAGTAGCGAATGGCAATGGAGTTGGCGTTGGGGTTCTCCAGGTCTGCCTCGAGGTACTGATTCAAACACCCGCGAGAGGCTTGGAGGAAGATGTTGGCGACGCTCTCTCCTTCTGCGAATAGGTCCCTGGGGAGCAGAAAGGCGGCCTCGGCGCATACAGCGGTTATGAGAGTGAAGGTTGAATCATGCCACGGCTCTATTATCGAAAGACTGACTGGAGCGCCATGGGTGAAATCTGGCCATGATTCATCTTGTGGCCTTAAGGCTGTGTCTGCTCTTGATTGAGATGAGTTGTTGAGGCTGGTAGCTGAATGAGCTAAAAAGAATACCAGCCCTTCTCGTAGGCTTGGCTCATGAACCAACGGAGTAAGAGGATAGAGATACTCGAAAAACAAATCAAAGCACCGAGTAACCATCTGGTTGATGTTCACATTGATGAGTGCCAGTGACCGGGCGAGCCCATGCCACCTTTGGATAGCTGAAAGGTGATGTGCCCCTGAAGGATCAGATACGGAGCTTCGAATCGTTTGTGGAGAGAGTGCATGTTCGATATGAAGAGTCTCGCCATGCTCCCACGAGCCAGATGGAGACGCTCCAAGGGGGCTCCCGAAGGACGGGACTCCAACCGCCCCATTTGCAGGTGATAGTGCCGAAGGCGCCGTGTTTTCTCTATTTTCAGAGACGGTCGACCCAGTTATCCTTCTGATTTTGGGTCCTCGTCTCGCAGAAGGGACATCAAACGTGCATCGTTCTTCGGCCTCGAGGCATAGGGAGCAGGCATTACTTGTGCTAGAGGAGTCGCACTAAGGCAGCTTGGTCAATAACCATCATCTCCCTTAGCCTGCGAGACATTTCAGCTGAGATTAGCTCACCTTTGCTTTTCTCCGCCGACACCGGTCGCAGGCTCTGCTGCTGAGAAGCCGTCGCCGCTGCTGGTTGGGCTGTGGGGATGCTGGACACGGCGGTGAGCTTGGCATGATGGCGTATCCTGCTGTTTGTCTCTGTTCGGAGAAAAGCAGACGAGCAGAGGCATCTGTCGGCGTTTTATGACAACATTGTGAGCCGAGGCGCGTTGCCTGAATCCCCACAAGAACCGCAGCTGAGCGTTTCTCCGTTTCTCCGGACGATCTTTGCTGGAAACAGGCCT